AAAAAAAAAATAAAAGAAGGAAAAAAGAGAGTTGGAAAAATAATTTTCCTAATAGTTTTTGCTTTGTTGCCGACAATACTTTTCGCCTTTCCCCAATGTGTACTTTGCTGTATCCGTCGTCGACAAAATTTTCTGTTGTTGTTTTTTTTTTTTTTCTCGTTGCACAGTTATTTTGCCAATATCGATGAATTCAATTAGAATCTATTTTTTTTTGCTTTGTTTCATTATTTTTAATAAAGCTGAAAAAAACTCTGTTTATTTTGTATCTTTTTTTTTTCAGTTAATCTGTGTATCGGTGCTAAGCAGTGCATATTGAAAAAAGAAACTTGCTTCTTGGCTACAATTACTCTGGATTAATCCTGAACTTGTCACAGAGCATTCAGAAGGGATCAGTGCGAATAAGGATAAGAAAAAAAAACAAACATCACCTATGGCGTCTATTTATTGTCAGCAATTTCAATTGTTTCTGTCATTCAATGAAACTTCTATGATTTGTTGGATTACTACATTGAATTCCACGATTAACTAATAGGGAAAAAAAAACAAAAACAACAGTGGAAGCAACTGTATCTGTACTGAAAAACAAAAAAAACAATTATTAAGTTGTCAATATTGGATAGCAGTGAAACTATGACGGTATCTGTTTCAAAAAAGTATACAAACTTGCCAGCAATCCTACAATCACTGTTCCTTTATTCGTGTTTAGTTGATTTGACTGTAAGTGAATGAAGCTTTAGCTCAATTTTGATAATCAGTGCTATTCACTGAATAGCTGTATATTTGTCTCAGTAACTAACGTCTTCATCTGGGTAAGTTTTATATTTCCGAAAAAAAAAAAACCGGTTTTTTTTATTTTTATCTACATTGGATACTCTTATTTTATGCAAAAACTTCTATCAGCTTAGTCTTTTCATTAAACTACCTTCTGGTCAACAATCTTTGTACTACAATTATGCCGACAATATCGTCGGACATCATTTGCTTTCATTAAACTGATTAAGAAGAAAAAAAATAAAGTTTTTTGTCTTTTTTTTTTTTGCATTTAAAATTTATTAACTGCTTTAACAAATCTTAACTTTTACAATGCCATTTTTGCAAGGAAAAACAAAAGAAATCGTTGTTCGTCAATAATTGTTTCTGTTTTGGTGTCAGTGTGTATGAATGATACAGAAAAAATTTGATTAACCAACAGCAGCCAAGCAAAAAGCTAAACAACTCTTTTATTATAGTTATCCACCCGAATTTTTCTTCAAACTCGTTTAATCATATAGAAATGTTTGTTGAAAATCATTGTAGCATCATTCTGTTTCCTCGGAAGCCTCAATTTGATTCTGCTAATATAAGACAAGTTTTCATTTTTATAATTTTTAACTGGATTTATTGTTTTGGATACTTTGGTTTTTTTTTTCCTGCTTTTCCTATCTCATTTTGTCATTCATTGTCCTTTCAGTTCACTCCTCCTAAAATAATATGCAACGAATGAGAACAGAAGGAAAAAAATAGCACCATTTTTTTTGTTGTTGTTGTTTTAAAATCAAATGTTTATAAAAAATTATATATTATAGCAAAACAAAGCGTATAGTTTACAAATATAATACTTATTATTTTATGCTGATATTAAAATTTAAACTTAACACATAATCAAAATAGTA